CAATACGGTATCCTGTTCCCTCTCTCCTTTCCTGCTTTGGTATGGAGATCCTCATTTGCTTCAAGTCATTATGCTCAAGCTGTTGAGTTCTGGCTTTATGTCAGCAGACAAACTAAAGTAATAAGCCAAGATCTGATTCTGGATTTTTATCTTGGCTTGCTAAGTGACATCAAGCCTAATTTAGACTTAATGAGGAGCCCTTGCAAACCTGAATCTCTTATGCTGAAGCTGTTTGAGATGAAAAAGGATGGGAAGGGGGTAGGAGTCCGTATTTGTGGTGCTTAGTCTGATCTATGAAGCCATGTCTGAATGTCTGAATGCAAGCATAACATGTAATATATAACAAAGAATCAATAAAACCCCAAATAACAACTAATATCTTTTATTCAAATGATAAAACATTTCTGTAGTGTCACTGTAGTTCTAATTATTTAACTATTTAATTATTTAACAGCTTACTATCAGTTGGGTCATTTTTACTCCCAGAGTGTGCATAGGACTGAAGCCACAATATTTAAAAAAATGGGTTTTAATTGTCTGTTGTTTCATTGTTCTATAGCTCTGGTAACATTTAAAAATAAACATTTTCTCTCCTCCCCAGCTTCCCTTTGATAGCACTCCTGGTCCTTACGATTTACTCGTCAAAGGCTATTCAGAAGGTCTGCTCTTGTTTTCTAATCGCACAACCCTTTCATTTGAACATAAGAGCTTCTCAGTCTTCCTGCAGACGGATAAATCTGTGTATAAACCAGGGCAAGATGTCAAAATACGGATTGTTACTCTGTACCCTGACCTTAAGCCATTCAATACACCTGTAAATATATATATTCGGGTAAGTAACAAACTAGAAATTATTTGGTGAAGTAGATGCTTCCTTCAGAATGTGGAGGTGTCACCCATGGTGTTTTGCATTCCAGTGTTCCCAGGAAAGAAAAAAACATATTGTAAAATATACCCTATATCAGGGCTGAAGGAAGTGTAACCTACAAGCCACATATAGCCCTCTGAAGCCCATTTTTGTAGTCTCTAAAGCCCTGTAATCCAAAAGGTTTAAACTCATTTCCCCCAGGCATTTTCAGGTGCTCTTTTGTCTGGAAGTCAGTTAGGATATGCCACAACTGACCACAAATACGGTGTTTTGCCTCTGTCCCCCACATTATCCTTGGCTGCTGGCTGAACCAGGAACTAGAAATGAAGTTCAAAATGAACCAATGAAAATTGGCTCCTACCTGTATGCAGTTACCCATTTGTGAACTAAATAAATAAGGCAGCCATGCTGAATGTAGACTGTAATATATAGGTTCTACTTTTAAATAAATTCTTTGTGCTTAGAATGATTCCAGATGGACAGCTTCAAGTGTTAAATAACCTGCTTCCAAAAGGGAACAGCATTTGGACTGGATACATGCATTAGAATAGGCATTTGTGAATTGCCCACATAGGGGCGAAGCAGATGGCACAAAAGGTCCATGCTGGGACAGCGCCACCACCGTTCACCCCAGGACCACAGCAGCCACATGTGCCTGCCTTCGATCCAAGCTGCCACTGTGGTCCAGAGCTGGGCTTCAAAAAGGAGGGGTATTGTACTGCACCTTTTTGGATCAGTTCTTTGGCAAAGAGTTGTGCTTGGAGTGGCTTCCTGATGTGTTTGGGGCATGCGTCATCTGAACGCCATGCCTCCAATGTGGCTCGACGGCGGTCCTTTTGGGCTGTCAGAGGCTTTTAATATTAGTGCTGATGAAGTGTTGGTATAGATGTTTTCTGCTGAAATAATCTTAATTTCCTAGAAAAGGTTGGAATACTTCAAAAAAGCATCTTCCAAGAATTGTATATTTTCCATGTATCCCTGGATTGGTTACTGTCATTATATATACATATATTTTTACATATACCTTGTTTATTTATTGATTGATTAGGATCCTCGACGCAATTTGATTCAGCAGTGGCTGACACAAAATGGAAAGCTGGGCAAAATAGCCAAGCAATTTAAGCTATCAAAACATCCTGTTTTGGGTGACTGGAGTCTACATGTTGAAGTAAATGTGAGTATTAACAAAGTCAGTGGTTCAGGAGGGATGTAATATAGTATTAGTAAAATCAGTGATAAAGCTACCTTAGAGTTAAGTGGAGCTGGATCACATTCTAGGATTAGTTCAATTTTAAGAGATGATGCTTTACAAAGAACAGCCTCAGTATAACCAAAAATACAACTTTGTGTTCCATGCCTGGGGGAGTAGAGCTTGGAGTGAGCAGTGAGAAGGTACCATTTTCTTTGAGCATTGACAAAATCTTCTGTGAGGGCCACAGAGTTTTTGCAGGCTTCCTAGTTGTTCAAAATGCTGGCCAAGAAGGTGGCGGGGGGGGGGGGAGTGTGAATGGCCAGGAGTGACCCTTTCCACATCTCTGAAGTTTTGACTTACCGTATATACTCAACTATATGTTGACCTCACGTAGGCAGGTTTTGGGGCTAAAATTATGGATTTTGATATGACCCATGTATAAGTTGAGGGTAAAATTTAGGAGCATGTGAAAAAGATCTGTAGACTGAAGCAAAGGAAAATGATGCCAAAGAACTTAACAAAATTCCAGCAGGCATAACTGTTTGTGCTCCCACTAAAGGCTGGATGGATGAGAGAGAGCAGAGGAAGATCAGTGCTTTCAGGTCAGATTACACTTTTGTCTTTCAGCAGGGGATGGTTCCCTTTTTATAAGAATTAAAGTACAGTACTTACATTGACCTATGGATAAGGTGACTCAGTTTTTTGAGTCAATTTTTTTACTAAAATTTCTAGACGTATACATGAGTATATACAGTAGGTCTGATTGGGGAGAGTAAAAGATTGCCTTTGGCATGGAGTTTACACATGGGCTTCAACCTTCATTCACTCACTCTCACTCAGCTAATGTATGGATTCATAGTATTGTTTTCTGGCTGAGGTTTGTGTGCAAGAGATTATTGTATTATAAAGTTTGGTATAACTTGTGGGCAGACTGCATGTCAGTAGATCCTGTTTGGAGGCAGACAGAGTTTGCAGACCTCTCATAGCCTGTTGGGGGTATCCCATGTGACCTTGGAAGTGTAGATTACAGGAGTCATGCCCAGCTCAAAGGTAGGTGACCCAGCCACACCCTAAGCACCAGGGAATCCACACAATGGCTTTTGCTCACTTGGAATCCCATTTTTGACTCCCAGTTCCCAGCAGGTGGGTTGGGTAGGCTGGTTCATTGTTTGAGAGGCAGGTTGTGCACTGTCTGAATTTGGGCAGCCAAGCCTCTACAGTTGTGAACAATAAAGTTGTAGCCCTTTCCCATTCCATTATTTTGGTGTATGCATCTATTAATTGCCAAAGGAAAACCCAACATTGCTGCTGGGCATGCAATGAGCTAAGTTGTAGGCCTAGTTTTGTGTATGGTGTACTAGACAAAAGTGCATCTAGGGTGTTGTCTACATGGGCCAAGATACTCCAGGAGCAGCCTAGAGCATTGATGCTCCAGAGCTGCCCCAGTGTCCCCTTGTTACCTGGACACTCACATTGCAATGCTGGACGGCTATTTGCATGGGCATTTTGCTGTGCCACCTGGTGCTAATGTTATGAATTGCTTGTTCTGAGGTCATAATGAGGCACCCAGCAATGTGATTAAGGCTGGGCACCTTGTTCTGACCTCAGAGCGAGTGTCTCGTGGTGGCAGTGCCTGTGCTAAATGGTACAGCAGTATGTGTAAGGGACAGCTACCTGTCATTGTAGTGGAGGGCTCCAGATCTTCTGGGAAGATCCAGAGCAAAAGGTGAGTTTTTTAAAGCTGTTGTAAGGTGTGTGTGTGTGTGTATGTTTGCTGTTGAACTGGCCAGAACTGGGGATTGGGCTGTGCTTAATTTGGACTCCCCACCAAGAGGACCGGGCGGGGGAATGTTTTTTATTTGGCCCATGCAGACAGCACCTAGAGAATCTTTTGTCCCATTGTAGTGTGTGAAGGTTAATAAATGATGTACCAAACATTTGTACATTTCCCTGAAAGCAGAAATCCTGAAGCAGGTTTTCAAAGTTGTTTTAGTAGCTTTTAGTACAATTTAGATATTTGAACCACATGAAAAAAAGAACAATCACCTAAAAGAATAAATTCTTTCTAAATGTGGTGCTGGAGAAGAGTGCTGAGGATCCCATGGACAGCCAAGAAGTCAAACAAATGGGTGCTAGAACAGATCAAACTAGAAATCTCTCTGGAAGCCAAGATGACTAAACTTAGGCTGTGGTACTTTGGCCACATCATGAGAAGAGAGGAATCATTGGAAAAAACAATAACGTTAGGAAAGGTGGAGGGAAGCAGAAAGAGAGGAAGGCCACACATGGATAGACTCTATAAATGGATGAATAGACTCTATAAAAGAGGTCACAGGTATGAATATGCAGGAACTGAGCCGAGCCCTCATAGAGCTTGGTCTCCAGACCTTTGATAATCTCAGTTGTCCTTCTCTGGGGATATTTTAGCTTGTTGATATCTTTCTTGAACTTTTTCATTTCTTTCTTCTTAGCAAAAATTTCTAGAACTTCACTTCATATAGAAAACCATGCTTATAGTTGGATTGATTTTGCTACATTATTCTCAAAACATTATAGCTCTGTTGTATCAGAATAATGCCCTGTTCTCACAGAATGCCAAATTGATGCCTATGGGAATTCGAGAAGCAGGACATGAGTGCAATAGAACCATCTTTTTTTTTAAAATATCTATCTATCTAATTTTTTTTAAAAAAGATGGTTCTATTACACTCATGTCCTGCTTCTCGACTTCCCATAGGCATCAATTTGAATATATATATATTCTAAACCACCCACCTCTGTTCTCCAGCAACTGTTATTGAGAGGCATACTTCTCATAAAGATTGTCATTTCAAAAGGGATCTGTGTATGATTTCTTAGGGAACATTTAGGAATTCCCTAGGACTAGGGCAACATATGTTGTTCAAGGTAACTTAAGTATTTTCTATAGCTCTTTTGAGAGCCCGTGTGGCAAAGTGGTTGGAGCATTGGACTATGACTCTGGAGACTAGGGTTTGAATCCTGGCTCGGTCATGTAAACCCACAAGGTCATTAGGCAGTGTCATCTCTCACCTTCAGACAATGGCAATGGTAACCCCCCCCTGAGGAAATGTGCCAAGAAAACCCCATGATAGATTCACCTTATTGTGTGCCTTCAAGACATTTCTGACTTATGGTAAACTTATCATAGGGTTTTCTTGGCAAGATTTCTTCAGAGGAGATTTGCCATTGCCTTCGGTTCACCATAAGTCGGAAACAAAGGCACACAACAACAGCATAGCTCTTTTAGCACTAAGCAAACAAATTCAGTTTATTTTATTCAGTATTTTTCTTCAGCAACTGGTATATTCTGTTGAATGCCTTACATCATCTTTTCATGCCAGAAACAAATAATAAAATGAATTGAGCAAAGACAATTTAAGCTTAGCAACTGTGGGGTATTTTTTTTTGCCTAGGTTCAGGAGTGTGTTTTTGGAAGCTGGATGCCAGAGTTATTACCAGTCTGAGCTGAGTTAAAAACCCAGACACTGTCTGAGTGAATCAGCTCCTCTTTGTTCTCCCAGAGCCATTGTATAACAAAATAATAGTTCTGATTCTTATAAATGGCAAATTCTTATAAAAGTGGGAGATATCTTTGGTATTGGGAAATACATAGGGAGAAGACTAGCAGAATTTTGAAGTGAACCCTTGTGCTGATTTTTTCCTCCTGGGAATAAGTGGTTCCTTGATCTAATGTGAAATGCCCCCACTTCTAATATATATATATATATATATATATATATATATAGAGAGAGAGAGAGAGAGAGAGAGAGAGAGTTTAACTGAAAAAGGCTTGTGTTTTCTAACAGTCAGGAGGCAATTTTGACATGTATCAACAAGCTGTTTTAGGCCAAGAAGGGGCTTCCCCCCACTTTCCCCCCAAAACTTGAAGTTTATTGTTTACTTCTGGTTTTGAAAAAAGGTCTCTTAGGCCAAAAATAATTCAGCCCTACCAAAATGGAAAAATTGCTCACCATGATGAAGGCTGACAGAGGGTGTGAAGAGGATTTTTTTAGTGGAAAGTAAATATCTGAAAAATAGAAGTGGAGGGTAGCAGGAGGAGCAGCTTCTGAAGGTCCAGTTTGGGGGGCATGTCTGCTGGTAGGATGTCAGAAAATTTTCTATCCCTGAACCAACCTAAATTGGGCATTTCCAGAGGTTGGATGTACAGCCACCTCTCCATTCCCGCTGACTTCAAGTCTGTGGTTTTACATATTATTGGAGGGGCGACCTCCATTTAAATCAATGGGGTGCGCCCTCACATGCACCTGCGGGGGTGTGCCCCATTCAAGCCTATGGGGCTTGATTATTCACTAATCTCCATTTCACGGAGGTGGTGGGTCCGGAACAGATCCCCCATGAAAACGGAGGGACAACTGTAATTAGTTGCAAGCAACACAGCCATGTATAGTTACTTTAGTGGATTAATACTATTGCAACAGTGTTACATTCCAAAAGTGTGGCAATGTATAAGAGCAAAGTTATTTTATTATACTCCTCCACATTTGTGGCTTTGACTTTTGTGGATTTGATTAATATGTTTTCTCTAGGGATATTTAGGTCCTCCAGCGCAACTCTGTGATCAACTTTAACCAAAAGTTGCACTGAAGGGCCTAGAGATTCCTAGAAAGAATACTCCACTAGGCATTTGTAGCTCTTCCAGCACAATTCGATGGTCAATGTCTGGCAGATGTTGACCACAGAGTTGCACTGGAGGACATAGAGATTCCTAGAGAGGTGTTCTCTCAGGTAAAAACACAATGTCTTTGTTATTTGTTGTTTTTCCACATTCATGGGGGTCCTGTGCCCCTAATCCTCGCGAATGTAAAGGGAAGAGTGTAGTGTGATTAGTAATTTTTAAAAATTATTTTAAAATCCATTTAGAACATTTCTAGAAGCATTTTGTCAGAAATTATTATCAAATTTTGTGCTGTTCTCTTATCGGTCCTCCAAAAAAGTAACAGAAGGTAATAGGAAAGAGATGGCATAACAAGAAGTGAAATGACTTCCTGTTCCTTTTACTACTTTGTGAGAAGTAGCATGTGTTTTTCTTTTCATACACAGTAATGAGTAATGGGAATGAATTACTGTTTAGCCTTTCGAGCTCTGGATGTTTCTCACAGCAATACCTAGCAGCTGGTCAAACAAACCTAAAATAACAAAGACCATTAAGAGTAGCCATGCCAGATAAGTGCTCTCTCTAGTCAGATATTCTGTTCACACAGTAGCCAACCATTGCCCTAATGCAACGTTGTCAGCAGGTATAAGCACAACAGAACCCTCCTCCATATTTAATATATATACTCACTGTATTTATTTTCCAGTTGTTGTTACAGTTTCTCATTGTTTTAGGGACAAAGTCTGTCCTGTTATTTTCCTGCATGCATTTGTGAGGTTCAGTAAGAAATATAATATGTATACTCACATAAAAAAGTACTCGCACACAAGATAAATAAAACAGACTACGGTACATTCTTGCATTTTTAAAAATCTGCGTTTTAAAAAAGAAAAAAACAATGCAGGATTATTTTACAATGATTTTGTTTCACTGTTAAGTGCCAATTTTGAGGTGGAAGCCATGTTCATCTACTGTAGTAAAAACAACAAAAGCCCCATGACATCTCACAGATACAGAAATATATTGTGGTATATTGAGGTAAATGTCACTTTGCCCAGTGAAATTTTCTCTGCACGTAAGTGCAAAGGCAGTAAAAATGTTTTCCCCAAATATGCCTGTGTGTTTATATTATTATTAAGTTCTCTTGAGTAATGAACAGTTTCAAGTGTAGCACCACCAGTACTTGCCATAATTTCCTTTTCTGTTTCTCATCTCCATACTTTATATAACTGGGACATGAATGTTAACCCAGAGAAAGAGTCCTTTTCCTTACTTTTTTCTTTTACAGTAACCAACATCAAGACTTTATAAACTTTGAAAACATGCAGCTCGGCATTTTACAACTTTTTATAAATTCTAGAATCATTTTGTGCTAAGCCCTACCTCAGATAAAAATAAACCACACCATTTAAACATAGTTTCATGTGTTTTGTTTGTTTGTTTCCATAGGGTCAAGTACATCATCAAATATTTACTGTCATGGAATATGGTAAGTGACACCTGTCTGTATATAAAAAAAGCATGCAGGATGATTTTGGATATTGGTTGTTTGGGTTTTTTTGAATACACAATGGTAGGTTTAAGATTCAAGGAGGAAGAGGTCTTCAATCAGGAATTCTCTTGGATGCGTCTTCACTTTAGAAATAATGCAGTTTGACACCGCTTTAAATGCTGTTGATCTATCCTATGGAATTCTGGGATCTGTAGTTTTACAGTGTAGGCTTCTCTGCCAAAGAAAGCTGGTGCTTCACAAAACTACAAATCCTAGGATTCAGCAGGATGGGGCCATGGCAGTTAAACTAGGGTCATTCTGCATTATTTTTACAGTGCAGATGCACCCATTGACAAAATATATCTTACTAATTAAATATCTTCTGAGCAAAGAAAAGTGTGAAATTTCCCTTATGAGAACATCTTATGCCTTAGCATCCTTTGGCATTCTGAGTGTATTTTATTATTTCTATTGTTTTCAAGAAAGTTGTCAAGACTCATTCACATATTCCATTTGCATATGCAGCACACAAAGAGTGTGCTGCTTTAACAGTAAAGGGAGTGTGCAGCAGACGTATAGTGTGTGCTTAAACTCTTGCTTCCTCCAAACAGTACATCTTTCTTTGCCTCCTTATGAACAATGAGCTAAGAGTAAATAAAATAGCTACCAGCAACAAAGTGGATAGAAAGTGTATAATTAATTAATTAAATGTATAACCTCCTCATGATACATCTCAGAGGAATCTGCAAGTTAAAAATACAAGTAAAAACACACGCACTTATAAAACAGTACAATTAAAATTCTAAAGAACTAATAAAATCCAAACAGCAGTTAGAGAATATATATAGCTTTCTGTTCAAAGACAGGGAAAATTGCTTTTTCTGAATTACAATGCTCAGAGTCCATTGGGGAGTCTGACAGTTAATAGCCCCCCAAAAAATATTTTTTTTGCAAGCTCTGACTGGAAGTCTTCAACAGACTCAGAAGTGTTGAAGCAGATACAGGAGATTCAGGGGTGACACAGACTGGCAGTTTCAGCCAGCTTGGGAGCGGTGTGGTGTTTGGACAGTGCACACCATGACGCTGCCTGACTGTGTGGCATTATGCTGCCTGCCTGACCACATGGTGGGCAGCTTTGCTTAGGCGCCACATGCCGAAGGAGTGCCGAAAAGCTGCTGCTGCCACAGCGGAAAAACTAGCTTTTTGCTGGCTCAAAAAGGAGCGACTTTCTGCCACTTCCTTTTTGAGCCGGCAAACAGCTGGGTTGAACCATGGTCTACGGTTGCCTCAGCCCCAACCCGGCACTCAAAGGGGCGGTATCCTGTTACGGACATCTGTTTCATCCCTCAGTCTTCTCATCAACATCAAAAAGACCCAAAGGCCCAGGTGAGGGGGTACATTTTAAGAAACTAACAAAAGTGAGTAACTGAAGATGCTGATGGCCCCAAGAGGGAGAGGATTCAATAACAAGGGTGCCACAGTTGAGAAAGCTCACTCAAGTCACAACTTCCTAGGCATTGCCTATATGCGAACCCATTGCCTATATAGGATCCTGTGCTGATCTCAGGGGATGGGCTGGGAAATGCACTCCAATAAGTAATATCCAGTGCCCCTGTTTTACTGTTAACACAGGACTTTTCCCATACTGCCACCTGATGAGGCACCTCTAAATGCAATTTCAGATTATTATGCTCATATGCCTTGTGGTGGACCCCTTCACACACATCTTGTATTGCTTGACCCTATTTAGTTGGAGACAGTTTATTTCCTCACAATATATTGTGGTCAAGAGCATTTCACAAAAGCAAATGCATACAATAACCATAACTGCAATTATACTACATTACAACATTAATTCAGTTACAGTTTATTGGAAAAAATTCA